CATGTAGAACTGCTTTTATAAAATTCTTTTCAAGATTGTCAAATTGTAAAATTCCAACCCTTGCTGCTGTCTGCTTGTGAAACATGGGATCTCTGAAGTTGTGGAACATGGGACAGACACGCATATAACAGCACATGTGACACGTTTCAAACGTGGATCAGACTGGGTTTGACTTGTACATGCAACACTGGAGACGCAAGCTAATCCTTCAGTTCTGTACCTTCAGGGCTAATGCTACGATCCCTCCAGGGTGCATTTAATTTCAAACTCCAGTGTTCAAAGAAAAAAAACAAAAAAACTTTCATGTCATTTCCACTATGAAGGTGTAAGTGGGTCCCTGCTCCAGCCAGTAGAGGCAGTGCTGAGTATGAAGTCTTCCAGTCAAACACCTGCAAGTCCAGTCTTGGCAAAAGATGTTTGTCACTGACATCATTCACATAATGCATTCCCTACCCTTTACACACACACACACACACACACACACACACACACACAATATTTAGCATGTGCACACACCTACACATAGAAAGGTATAAGCTAATTGATGCAAAAACACATGTTCATAGAAATACACACGAAGACAAGTTGTCACCGAAAAGCCTTGTGGCCACTTGACCCTCCTTCCTACGAACTTTATCCAGAGCCATTTCTGCTTCGCTGCATAGCAACCAGTCCGACTGCCTTAGCAACAACAACCAAATCACTCATTTGACCTCAGCAAAATAAAATATTTCTTCCTTTGTCCTCTTCTATTTGCTCTCAAGCGCTGTTGTTGCATTATGTTCTTTTTTATTTTTCATTAATATGTTACCTACTTTAAAGTGATGTTATAGATTAATGCTTTTATTTATGTGCAAATAATGATCAGATCTAAAAAGCCTCTTTCTGCCCACAGCGCTCCTGGACACTTCAGGAGATTTATTTTTCCTCCACGTCTGAATCGGCAGAAAAACTGGGGCAGGAACGATAATGCTGAAGAAATCACACTTTCTTGTTTCTGTGCAGCTGCTTTTTAATCTCCCTCATGTGTGTGCCGTCCTATCACCAACCCTGCTCCAACCTGGATAATAAAGTGTAATTATTCTCAGCTGCTCCCTCGTGTAAAAGTGTTAAATTGCTTGAATCTTGCAGCGTTCAGCTCAGATAAGAGTTTTTCTTTAAAGAATGGCGGGGGACAGCCAGTCTCACTATATTGAAGTTGTGTATTTGACACAGAGATAAAGTGTTTGATACTGGACTCAGGAGTCAGAATGGACCAACACCAAACCACGAGTGGTTCACACATACACACCGCTCAGCTTCACTCTCTGTGAGTTATTCTATGTTTTGCTTCGGAGGGAAATTGGTGCACTTTGGCCATAATTGTTTCAAAACTGCTGCCTAATTATGACCTTTGGAAAACAAAGTGTACAGATTGAATGTGACATCTTGCTGCGCCTGCAGAATATAAACACCCTCTTGCTCTGGCTGAAGCCCAGTTAAACCTAATAATGCAAACCACCGTGTCCTAACCATTGCTGTTACTGAACTGGAAGGCTATTTTCACAGGTTTCGTCTCACTGACCTACAGAGAAGAAAAAAGAAAACACAGAGAAGCTCTCACTCAGACTTTGTTGCTGCAGCTTTCCGCTCAATTGTGTTTCGTGCTTTTGTTGTGTTGCCATGGTAAAGTGATTAAAAGATAAAAGTTCTCTCCCAGACCGGATCAGTCAGCTTTGAATCATACACGAGACGGACGTCCTACATGCTCTGAGTGCAGAGGCTGCACTATTAAAAGATTTATACAGTAAATCGTTCTGAGCTAATGTGGAAGAGAAGAATAAAGTTTGTGTCATCAATTGTTCCAAAGCAAGTCAGAAAACTACCTCTGCTCATTACCTACATACATCATGCATCTCTCACTTTTTCCAAATCTCGAATGTAAAACGTGTCATTTATCCTAGTTTAAACCATTGTTTGTAGGAAGCTGTCTAACAATACGTTCCTGAAAATATGGAGCAGAAAATCCAGGGGTAATCCTGAAATAATCCTGAAATAATCCTACAGTTGTATCATAAATCCCTCAGAGTCAGAGAGAAGGAGCCGTAACAGCCAACGGACAAAGACCCAAGTGACAGATTCATTTTCAGTGTGGGAGTTTCAGAATATCAATTTGTAATCTGCCGCTGACAGAGGATGTTCTGCACAAGTTTGAGTTACGATCTGAAGCTCCTCTCGAACAAGTGATGCTCACAGCTGACCACTTCTCTCACTTTACTTACAGAACATATCTGGCTTCTGAGGATCAGTTTCTGTGAGGCAGAGAACTGCAGAATGGAAATATGTGAATCACGAAACAACAAGAGAGCGTTCGTTATTAGTTTACTAGTTTAGTGCTAGTTTCCTGAAACACATTTGCTGTTACAAGTTGATTAGAGTTAAACGATATTTCTTGGAGGCAGTTATTACACTCCTGACACACACACACACACACACTCAGAGTGGGCTTTACCAGAAGTTGTTCCAGCCTGCTGCTGTCACAGTACATGGATTTCAATGGAGCATATTCACCCATATTCCCACCATCTGTCGCCATCATTTAAGACGAGAAGCATGTTCTTACATTTACATGTGTACTTTAAAAAACATGAAGGACCGTGTGTGTGTGTGTGTGTGTGTGTGTGCAGATGTGTATGTTTGATATAATCCTCTGCTGCTGTCTAGTGGACAACATTAGTAACTACAAGGAAGAAAGACTTTACAATTGCATGATATGCTGATATAATAAAAGACTTTTTTACTGTCATAAAGAATCATTTCTAAAATGAGTCCATATTCCTCTGATTTAAAGTTTTTCTCTTGCTTGTTCGGTGCAGTGGTTGTTACCGAGGCCTCCCAGCAGGAAGGTCCAGGTGCACAAGTGTGTGTCTGTGTGGTTTTCACAGGCTGCTTCAGCTTCCTGCTGTGCGTTGTGTTAATGCCATGAAGCTCACGATGCTGTTGAACACGAACATTTATGAAACGAAACACAACCCAGCATCCTGTAGCTGTCGTAACTTAGCTTGTACTAGAAAGTACCCTCAGGTCTTTACCACTTATCAATTAACACATTTGATCTTGTTGTTTGATCGTTACACAAACAAACTTGGATTCTTTTATATTTAAGTTAATTATTGAGCTTTGGAGGAGACAGAGACAGTCTGAGTGTTTCCCCTGCTTCCACTTTTTGTGCTGAACTATGTCAACTGTCTGCTGGACGTCGCTTCATGTCCTTGATGACCTTTTGAAGCTGTAATTTCTCCCACTGCTCTTTTTAACCTTGGATAATTGTGTTGTTCCGCTCTGATCCCAGTAATCGCTTCAGCACTTTCACATTTGTTTGTTTCCTATCGTTTTTTAAAATTGGTCACACATTTAGTTCCGGGTCGCATCTAAAGGTCTTATCATATCAAAAGATATTTTCTCTCCAGCTGCTCGACACTCTGTGAAGCTCTGGGGAGTTTGGTCGGCCGCCTCCTGAGGCTGAAATAAAACACAGTGGTTAAAGCCGTAGTACTGGCACGCAGCCATAGACAATACTCTGCTGTATTTCAAAGTTAAACCAAATTATCATGTGAGATGGTTTCACTGCATGACGTGTTCGGCTGATACAGAGTTCAGGATGTCATTTAAGGTCCTTCAGCCCCATTCAGACAAACCTGATTTGACTGATTCATGAAAGATGAAGACGTCACAGATACATTTTTTGATGTTTACTTTCTGTTTTTGGTAAATAAGACATTCTGTGCGGTGAATATACGATAAATAGTACAGGACAGATTTATGGTTAAAGTAAATATAGAAAAGATAAGTGTTATATAAATAAATAAAGCTTTATAAGTTGGTTCTCCTGTCAATGGAACCACACTGCAGGGTGGTGCTGTTCTTGACCAGGACCAGGAGAGGGCGCTGCAGAGCTACAATGTGAACTACAATAAACCAGAGCAGAATGAGAAAGATGTTTTTATAAGAAATGTTCACAATGATGATTTAAGATGTTGCGGACGAGACAATCTGATTTTCTCCAGTTTATAAGTGAGGGAGTGAACATCCTGAAGCTCTGAGGAGAAGAGATGATGATCTGGTTTTTATTTAGACATCTTATAGAAGGAAGAGAGAAAAAGCACAGGTGAGAATAATAATATTTAAAACTTGATTCTATTCAGCTCCACTGTGGTGGTGTTGACTCACACTGTCTGCACATAGTAGAGACACTTGACATCGTATCATCATATACTGACAACAGAGTGCTAAGAGACACAGTGAAACTCCTATTACTAGTATTTAAGAAGCATCTTATCAACGCAGCAGAACATCTTCATGTCACCAACACTGTGAATGAAGTGGTAGTTTGAATATCATATTGCTGTAATAACGTATACTTGCCACCAGGTGGCAGTGTCCATTTTAATACTTTGAGCAAGCTCTGGTGGAGTCACAGCAAAGTGTCCTGGCTTTGAATGAAGTTGAATAAATAAGTGAATGGATGAATGAATGAATAAACACATTAATAACGAAAAATACAAACATCATAAAATGATTCAAATGATTAAAAATATGTGTCTTACAATTCTTAACATTACCACCACTACAGAACTGGAGGAGGAAGAAGAAGAAGAAGAAGAAAAAGAAGAAGATGATGAAGAAGATGACGAAGATGATGATGATGATGACGATGATGAAGAAGAAGAAGATGATGAAGAAGATGACGAAGATGATGATGATGATGATGAATGCATGAATGAACCCTGCAGCTCTCCTCCTCCTCCTCCTCCTTCTCTTTAAGGAACCCTCACTTCATCACCAGTCACTCACAAATGATTCCAGATGATCGGACTCCTATCTCCTCCTCGCCTCCTTAAACCGCTCCAAATTTGTCCGGCTCCTTCTCGCCCTCTGATTGGCCCGCGGGCTGATTGGCCTGCCCTGTGATTGGTCCGGAGCTCCGCAGTGGGGACGGTTCCGGCGGAGTCACTTTTTGTTTTGTCGCCTGCGGCTGAAGTTCGGACGCAGCAGCTGCAGCCGGAGGCGACGTGGACTCAAGAGGACTCAGGGTCCAGGTTCTGAACTGTGAGGACACTGTGAGGACACTGTGAGGACACTTCTGTCCCAGAGGAGAAACTTTTGATCTGTCCTCGTCTTTTCCTGCGGTCATTCAGAAACCCCGCAGCCTGCGGACTCACGTGCTTCACCTGCAGGTTTCGTGCTCTTGTCTCTTCGCTGAGTTTCTTTAAAACTCTGGAGGTTTGGAAACTCTCCGGTGTTTCGGTGACACGCGCATCTGTCCGCGTTACTGGAGGAAGTGAAGGAGGTGAATGCGTGTTTCTGCGGGATGATAAACGTGCGGGTGTGAGGAGATCTCATCTCTGCTGGGAAACAGTAAGTCTGACTTTATCTCTGAATACATTCATGTACATGTATATAATAATAACAATAACAGTAAATAACCCAACATACAATCCGTTTCACTTCATATAGAGTCTCAGTCAAGTTGATTTGATTCTATCTTTTCTAGAATTTCTTAATGTCTGCAGCTTATTTTTTTCCTTTTACATATTAAAGTGTAATTTTCTGTCACATTCATTTAATCCTCAGTGATCATTAATCTGCAGACACGTTCATATCATAGGATTTTATAACAGAACAGAATCCAGAGGGTTCACTTTGACTTCAACAGGAAGATGTTGTTAAAACATATGATCAAGATAAACATTTTCATATCAGTCGATTTTGACATAAATGTTCATTTATCATCTCTTCAGTTTAAAGACAAATGAGGGAAGGTTGTGATTTTAAACTCGTCTTTTTACAAATACTATATAAACAGTTTTAAAACTCTCAAACTAAATTTAAACTAAACATCTAGTATATTGTTACATAGCAGTTGATGAAAATTGTGTTGAGATCATTCTTATTATTGTTTTATTGCCCAGACACATTAACCTTGAATCATGTGTTTTATTAAGGGAACGTTTACTTGCCTTTCTGTAAGGGTGAAACACATTAGGCTTTTTAATAAGTTTTTTTTAATTGGCTTGTAAGTAACTGATTTTAAACAGGTTATTAGTTAAAACACATTAGCTCTTCAGTTTGGGTTCTTCTTAATGACAACCAGCTTGCAGGTTTTCTGCTTTAAAAAAGCTCCTTACTTTTAACTTGTAGCTGCTTGACGTCTATTTGATTCATCAAATGTTTCTATTCACATAATAACACCAGTAAACTGATTTCCACTTGTAGAAATCTGACTGAACCTCCACTCCAACTTTAAACTCTCCTCTTGATCGTCATAAATCAAATCCCGCACCGTATAAAGTGTGTGTGTGTGTGTGTGTGTTTTTGAGACGCAGAGGTTTTGACGGATGCTGATCAGAGACGCAGCAGGTGAAGCACAGAAATAAGACCTCATAAGGTTCAGGGAAGAATTTATGTGGCGGAGAGATGAAAACCACTGTAAGGGGAGACATGTGGACATGTGGACAGGTGGACGGAATAAATCTGCGAGGGAAAATTGTTTTGTACTTGTAGAAAATCTCACACTGCTGTTCAGAAGAGTTAGGACAGATTTATACTGGTGACCACTCTGACACTTGACTTCTGCGGAAAAGAGAATATTTATCAGACACGAGACCAAGAAATGCAACATTTTGTGAGTGAGAGCTCCGACATGTGTCGTTTACCTAAAGGTTCAAGCTGGTTTGTGCTTTGAAAAGTCAAATTAAATGATTGAAACTCGTCCAGAGAAGCTTGAAAAGTATTAAAACCTGAGACAACTCATTACGAGAGGCACATGTGTTATTATATGTATGTGCAGGTTTCACATTCTCTCCAGCTGTCAGCCAGTCGGTCGTAAATTATGTTTTAATTCCATCGCGCTTGCAGCTATTTTGGCAGCGATTAATCAAAGTCCCCCATCAGATGGTGCAGTGACGAGTGTGGCTGGAATAAAATACACTGTGACAGCAAACAACACAGCTGTGAGGATTCAAACACACGGAATCTACACACTAAAGAGTCTCTGTGATAATTTCATCTTTTATTTCTCATTTATTTTCCCCTCAGGTCGAAGAGTCTGAGCATCTTTCTTCCTGAAAATTCAACCAAAATGGAGATTTTCTGGGTCTGTGTGTTTCTGAAGCTGCTCCTGATGTCCGCTGCTGCCAGGGGTGAGTAACAGAAGCACTGATTTCAACAGAGACACGGAGCCTGACGGTCATTATTATTCTGTCAGTGAAAATAATGGCTGTATCATTATTCTGCAGTGCTTGCAAAACCCCTTTTTTCCAAAGATTTGTTTGACATTTGGAGAGTCATGTTCAGTTGTTGGATCCTCGCTGTGTTGTTGCTGTGTTGGAAGGTTTTTTTATATATAGTGTGGTTTTGAAATACAGTGGTTTGACTCCTCTGAAGCAAGAAGCATGATGGGATGACAATAGTAGTTCAGGGACACACTTCAACTGTGTCTTTTCCACCACTTTTTAAATGGAAACAACTTTATTAGCTGACACATTAGACACGTGTCCCTGGATGAACTTCACTATTAGATTAGTCCGTGAACTTTGACTTGTTATTCAGCAGGTTTCTGCTCCGTCAGGTCGTCTCGATCCTACCTGGAAGTTCTCACACACTCGTGTACCTGGTAGTTTGTTGTTTTGCAAAGATTCTGCCTTGTTTGCTGTAGAGCAGTGATCCTAATTTACTGTTTCCCACATGATCCTTGTTGGCAGGACAAAGTCTACAGCTGGCACAAAACACCAAAAGCCACCCTGACCTTTTAAGCCTTGAAATCTGTCACCCAACAACATCCCGTTTATAAATCATATACAATGTTAACTCAGCAATATGAATAATTGTAGTAAAAGTCCAAATATATGGAAATCTGGTATATTATAGTATACTGTGTATATAAGATATATATTACATTGCGCTACATTTCTACACTAGCCCATTACTTGCCCATCCAACAACGCTAGTCATTGTTGTGCACCAGACAAACACCAAAACATACTGATGTTGTTGAACGTTTACCATAGCTGCACACTGGTACTGCCCTTTAAAAACCTGCCTACTTGGATGGGGCTGATTTCTTGGCCTGCGGTGACGCTGGTCGCGGCTTTTCTCTCTAAAACTGTGAAAGTGACCTGCAGTAATTGAGCCACAGCAGGTAAAGACCTGTTCTGTGGACCGAGTCCTCCAGCAGCCTTCAGTTTAGCAGCATTTAGTATTTGAACACCCCCATAAGGAGCTTGTTGATTAAGGTCATGTACAGTTCAGTACCCTCAGCGCTCGAACAAGCTAACAAACATATGAAACCAAACAACAACAACAGCCGTACGCAGATGAGACCGATCACAACTCAGCGGGCATCGTACGCAGACGGTCACAGAGTTGGTGCCCGTTCCTAAGATCACACCAGCGATGAGTTTTCAGTTGGAACAAAGCTGCATTCAGCGAGGCGAGGCCGAGCCTGTGTGCAGACACGGGGCTGAAAGTAAACACAGGGTCATAGACCGCAAAGAGATGAGATTAGATTAGCCTATTAGGGAAGTTTGCTGTGCAATGCCACAGCATTTCCTCCCCCTCACTGCCTGCAGTCTGTCAACTGAGCAGGGCAGAGAGAGGGGCTGAGGAGAGAGGAAGAACGAAAGAAGGAGAGAAATGGAGGATAAAGGCAATTGGAGGACAGGAGTTATAATGGATGATGAAAGAGAAGGAAGGGAAGTGGGGAAAGGAAGTAAGAGGAAGTAGTGAGGAAGTGTATCACAGGAGCGACTGAGAGGGAAAGGACACGAGAGGGTGAAAAGGACAGAGGGAACAAAATGTCATTGTTTACTAGAAGCTGAAGTTTATCTTGTTAGAGCCTGGACCTGGTTTGTTTCTCTTGGTTTGAGTCCAGTAACAGTGTTTGAGCAATTTAACCAAAGTTACTGTGAAAATCAGTTTTCAGAAATGAGACAAAAAAGCTTTGTTTGTTTCCACGTTTGCATGTTTAGTTGATCTTGTGCCTGAGGTTCAAACCGTGTTACTGTGGATCTGTGGCTCTGGGTAATGCAGCATGTCATCTGTCATCCTCTCCAGCTCATCTTTAGCATCCTTGTTCACAGGAATCATCTCATCCAGAATTCTAACGCGTATCTGAAGAACCGTTCATCTTATCAGCTTCACACTCTGAGTTGTGAAGGGCCAAAGGAAGTGCAGAGTTAAATTTGGTGCGATATGGACACGTGATACATTCAATATTAATAAACCTTTAAAAATTAGATGACAAGCACTTTGCAGCAGCGGTGCCTGGGACTCATCATTGGAAGTAATATGGTTGATCGTGACAACAACTGACGAAAGTCAAAATTTCTTAAACTTAATTATTTACTTTTTGAACCAATTTCATCAATTCTTTCCTATTTGTTTCAACATAAGATTATAAGCTTGTAACACTGTCTTCTGTGGCGGAGATGACATCCCAAATGTTAAAGCTATGTCTTGAAAGGTTGCACGCGATGCCACAAATTCCTCTGTATTTTTCAGAAAAGCTTGCACTAATTCAGGGGGCCACATTCACAAGGTCAGGGTGGAACTGTATAACCTTTAGCTGTGGTGGGAGTTGCCAAGTGCCACCACAGTGGTCGACCTTATAAGCCACTGAGCAGCTTTACTATACAAGTAGTCGCAGGCTTTGTTCTGTGACACCAGAACGAGATGTGTTGAGGAACAAACATGGAGTCTGCAGCGTCCCTCTACGGCTGAAATACAGTAAATAACCCCATAAATGTCAGGGGGACAAAAACAGAGCATATATCAGACTGTTTACACTAAAGAGCCCCAGAAGACGGCCTCTAGGAAGCAGGGCGAGAGTCTCTGGCTCTCAGCAGGATGTGGACCCAATGCTAGTGGAGAGAAAGGAAACTCAAATCAAAGCTGATATTATCATTTTGTTCAGGACTGGCAGTTCAACCGGTGATCAGATCGCTCACCACGGTCGTATTCATTTAATTGCATGTGAATAGAAAAGTCATGATTACAGTTTCCAGTCTTAAGAACAAAATTCTAATTTAATTTAAGACGTATTAAAATGAAACCTCAACATGGCTGCGTTCTCCACTCCACTCTAAGAAAAGACGGAATCATCTTATCAGTCACTTGATGATCACTCAGATGAATATGCATACTGGAGCAAAAGGGTTTTGCTCAGGGCAGCTGCACAAACAATGAACAGTGAAACGTGAAATATCAGAGGACAAACCAGGACATTTCTAAAAAGAAAAATGAACTTTTTAGCTTTCATTCCACAGAGCGCTCAGTTGCAGTAAATATAAGGCGGCCATTGTATATATCCAGGAAGTTATGTCTCTAAAATGAGAAGTATGGTTTGCTTCAGTGAAATGGCAGCGGCTGCGATGAATTGATAGACTCAGAGAACAGCTTTAATGACTGTTACTGGAAGTTACGTTTCCCTGGGTGTCCTTGGAGTTGAGCGTTAGATGGCACCGAAGTCTGTTTTCCACCGTTAGTGCTGATCGGCGAGGGGAAGCAGGAACCTTGGAACGGCTGAGGGCTTTCGCTGGACTGCGGCACGGCACAGAGATAAAGAGAAAAGCTGAGGAGAGAAACAGGACAGAGAGAGTGGAGGATATACAGGTGGAGAGAAAGAGAGAGAGAGAGAGGAAAAGGGATATCCAGAGAGAAACAACAGGGCGCAGACATGACAAACAAAGGAAGACAGACGGAGATAAGCACAGCCATACACAGACAGAAACAGAAATAAATGAAGACGCAACATTTATGCCTTTATTACAGCAGATGTCACATAAACTGCTCCCCAGAGGCTTACACAACCACACTGTTTGAACTGGTGTCTGGGGCCTGTGTGTGTGTGTGTGTGTGCGTGCGTGTGTGTGTGTGTGTAGTTGAGCATGAGACTGAGCAGCTGAGAGATTAGCATTCTCCTCTGTGGGTTGAACTGCATTGAGCTCCAGTACAGGGGTCAAACACTGGTAGTAAAGTCACAGTGCATTCTGGGATACCTGCTGCACTGGACGTTGGAAAATAAACTCTCAGGAAGTATTCAGGAGGCTTATTTACTTTCTTGTTGAAAGAACTTTAATTGCACCTTTGTGTCTGCAGGACTAAACCAGGAGATGGTTAATTTAGGGGAGAATAACAAACCTCCAGGCAGCTACAGGCCGTTATGTGAGGGACTATTTCTTGGCTCGGCGCAGTGATTATCTGCGTCATTACTTTCTGCACGTAATCCCTCGCATAACAACAACCTGCTGTTTTTGTGCATAAGGAACAAATGTAGTTTAATTGATCATCATTTCCAGTCTTTATGCTAAACTTAGATAACTGTCTCTTGGCAGTAGCTGAATGCACAGATATCAGAGTATCAATCTTTTAAAGAAAGAAAGAAAACATTAAAAGAAACATCTACAGCTTCTGGATATTGTATTCTCGTGTCAAACGTTGAGTTAAGTGCAGACGTCAACCCCAAACATCTAAAAGCCTGGTAAAAATAACCTGAGCGCTACGGGCTCCTCTTCGTCATTGGCCGCCGGTCTGTCTGCCATGTTTTGTTATGTTTGGTTGATGCTGTATGAAGCAAATCACCTTGAAGATTGAAACGGTGCAACTAACCATCTGGAATATGAAACCAGTTTTCATCCCTTGTGGCGTCCTTTCAGGATTGCAGCAGATTGAGTTTTCTTTTCTCTACTTTCACCTGCGATGTTGAAAAAACTTGCAACGTGTTCTCATCTTTCTTGTTTTCCTCTTCCACCCACTCTGCTTGGAAGTAGACAGAGAAAAGAAAGGATATACCCAGAAATCAGATGATGAGTGTGGGTTGTTTACATGGTTTCCTGATGCTCTGTCCTGTCCAAACAAATGTAATGTTTTCCAGGTGATTTTGCTCTATAGACCACCCGTTATCTGCAGGCAGGGAGAGGAACAGATGCGGAGATGAGAGGGTTTTTATTTGTTGTTCTACGAAGTGTAAAAGGTCCACAAATATTAAAAAGGCATCTTCATTGCGCTGGAGATGCCAAATCAGAGATGCACATGGAGGAGCAGGAAAAGAGACACACACAGAGAGGCAGTGAGGAGCGTAAACAACCGCACACACTGATTCTGCAAATGTATACAACCATAGATATGACTAAACACATGTAAG